AAGCATAATTTGGTCAACTAGGTTGTCATATATGAAATCTTATTTCTAAAACAAAGGTAATTTTACAAAAGTAAAGCAAGATTTATATCTACATTATCGACTTAACAACTTAGCTAAAGAAACATCTAGATGAAGTATGTATAAATATGCATGAGAAATCATATCTAAGTTGATATACAAATTTTTTAACCATTGACAATATGCTGGATGGTAAAGGAACAGTAAAACCTGTTAAAAAGTATAGGGGAGGCAAAATAACAAGAGAATATTTTCTATATATATTATGCTGCCTTTTTATTTATAAACTTTAAATGACACTAGTGCCAGTCCTCAAAAATCGAAACAATATTGTTGTTCATGTAACCTTACGAACGCGTAAAGTATTAGTGTTTCTAACTCTTTATCGAAAATATACGAATCATTGCGATCTGGATATAAACGTGAATAATCGGTAATGACACTTTACTTATATTCTGTTGTTTTGTTGTTGTTTGTTCATTTCCTATCTACTTCTAAGCACATTTTCTGTATGTATCTAGTTGACATCTACTATCAATAATACCAAATGTTGCGTGTGGGTGCCAGAACTTTTATGCTGCGGGAGTTAAACAAACTATACTTGTCTATAGAGAAAATGGGAATACGTGAAAATTTATGTAGAGGGAGGGGCGACATGTCCAACTATGCATCACTTTCCTTCTTTGCCGACGCCACTTTTGACTAAACTCTGTTTGTCTTGAAAAAGGTTGATAATTGTATTGAACAAACCATTTATTTTGAAAGTAAGGAAATTAGTAAAATAAGCAAATGTTAAACTCAGGAAAAATGTATTTACACAGAGGAAGAACGCAACCGAATCTATTCTTTGTGAAATGTTCATTCATGCAACACAGAGATTTTTCACAGTTTTACTTTTGATCATATTTGTTTAATAGTTTTAAGGTTTAATTTCATTGCATCCTTTACTGTTGTATCTACAGTCTTTTTATTGATCATAAGTAATTATAATTGCGTGCAGTTGATGGTTGAAATGTATTCATGATTTACAAAGTTTTATTTAATAACAAAGATTTTTTATAATATGAATTGACTTATGCAAGAGCATACATGTATGGAATTTTTGCTTAATCAAGGGAAAATCCATTTACAGTTTGGAAATCGTGTCTTAATCATTGAAATTCGCATCCTGTCTTGAATAGGGGATTCTCTATTCCTGAGTTAAAACTTGTAAAACTTTATAATGTTTAACAGCAGTCCTTTGGAATTCGATATATCACAATTTTATTATATACTCTGTATGAGGTTCTTATTTATGTATTTTTCTTCTATAACAAATGTTTTTAGTCAGTGATGTATACTTAGTTATAGAATAATACTGTTTGTTGAAGGAGATCGTGACTCACTCTTCATTTTCTTTCGTTATTTAAATGTGTTTATGTAACAAAACTCATATGGATAAAAAGTTTATGTTTCAATAATTTATGAATTATGATCACCATTTTTAACTGATATGTATGTAGTCGCGTTTTTTGTATTAAATTTCTCATCTTTTGTTAGATACGTAACATGTAAAGAACTAAAGCAAGCATAATTTTGTCCACACGATCGTCGTATATGAAGTCTTATTTCTAAAACAAAGGTAATTTTATGTAAGTTAACCGAGATTTTGTATTTATATTTCTAACTTAACAAATGTGATACCAAAGCATTGCGTAGTATGAAGTATGACTATAAACAAATCAATGTTTATTTCCATTCCAAATGAAAATCGTGAATGATTCTATACGTGACTTTTAAAGCTATATTTAATACCACGACTATAAAGTAGGTTTCATTTCTTGTTTCAAATTATCCACTATAAAAATTGCGGCTCTTACACGAAGAAAAGGTTTGATAATAAATAATTCTGAGTCAGTGATGCACTTGACATTCACAGATGCCATGTCATACTGAGTAATATAGAGACTACCGGTTCTGGCGCACTTCACCCCCAGGCAGGCTACATACATAAATCTGAGCGCCCCGGCCCTAGTTCGTTTACACAGTACGAAATACTGTGTACATGGCTCCCGACAAAAAATCGCACCGGTTCTGGCGCACTTCGCAGTTTGAGAAGGAGTATATACAAATCTAAGCGCCCCAGCCCTAGTTCGCGTACTTGGTTCACATACATAGTAAGCACACAGTAAGCTCATAGGTCGGCACAAAAATCGCACCGGTTAACGCAAAGACCAAACTCAGGACAACGGCAGGAGCCAAAGACGGGCGGCCCACCCCCAGCGCCCGCGCAACCGGCCGTCGGGTGTCTATTATTTATTTAAACATAAATTCTCACATATTGTATATCCAAACATTCGAAAGTCATGAGGCAGGGCAAGAACAAGTGTGCGTGGTTATTATCCGGAAAGCTCACCACATGTAGACAAAGCTGAATGGGTAAATACTGCGGATTTTATATGAGGCGGTTAAGGGAAGGCAAGTGACTTCCACAACCATGTCGTAAGTGTGGCGTCCGAACACATGCAGAAAGCATCCTTTGTAAAGCCTGTGGTGCGAATAGGGTGCAGCATATGTTTGTTTATTAACAGAACCAAGCAAGAAAAAGGTTTGCTAGCGTACTCGCCGAATTAATTTTGACATTTAGAATTGATTTCGACATTTAGAATTAATTTTGATTTAGAAAAATGTCTTACGAGATTTGCGACACTCGAGATGAATACTGTTAATAAACTTCTGCAACTATATGACCAAGGTGTAATCAGCGGACACACGCTGAACACCTTTCTTAAGGCTCTTAAACCGCCCGCTGCCTCAACACCCACGCCAAGAAATGTCACTCCGCCTATCCCCAAACCGCGAAAGCGCAGCCCCGTCAAGTCTACCGATGATGAAATTGATGGATACATCGATGAGCTTCTGGCTGAAATGTCATTGAGGCGCAGACCACAACGTCCCACAAGGGCTCCTCCCCCACCACCCACGGAAGTTAAGTGGAATGAAACGAAGGCCTTCAGCTATCATCTGAGAGGCTGAAAAATGCAGGTGCCGAAGGGACACCCCTCCGAACGCGACTTGATGGCTTTCCTCAAAAGCGCCCAGCCCTACATCGAACACAAACTCGTTGAGGAGCTATTAGCTCTACGAGGAGTTAAGTTCCAGTTGGCTGTAGAGGTCGAGCTTCGGAAGGATGAAGCAAATGGTACTGAAGTGCTTCAAGCACCAGTGCTCAGGACAAAGAATATCACGCTGCTACAGGCGCATGAGATTCCGCAAGCCCTACATGAAGCCTTCCAAACTATCCTAGAGAGATTGGGAATGTTCACTCGGGAAGGGTCTGGGTGGATAGTGGGTCGTGTCAAAACACTCTAGCTTGACACCGCTCACTACCAGCCTTTTCCGGAGGTTGTTTCACGCTAGACATAAACTTTGTGTGCCATTGACTGTGTTGCATCCCCGGTTGTGTCATCTTGGTGTGACAGTTTTCGTCACCCCACCCACGCCAGGGGCTACAGACCCAAGCTGTGATCATAATAAATCACTGCGGTGAACATCTCTTTTAATTACAGCCTGTTGTTTGCGAGGGGATGGAGTGTGGGAAAACCAGTATTTGGATAAAATGATGTGTATGAAATAGCCGTCACTGGTATGGAGTGTTTGGCATGTCAAACTGGCGCTATGAGCGTCATGAATCTAGCCGAGCATTTCAAAGCTATGAAATTCGTTTGCCGCCTGTGTAACGACAGCAGTGCTGTCAGCGGTAGGGATGGGGAATGGCTATGTAAGCATGTCGAGTCGCCTGGGCACCGATAAAAGCTAGTTGAAGAGCAGATAAGATCTAGGGGGTGGCCTCACCGCTTCCTCCGGGCTGCTCCCGAGGAACTGCAACGGCAAGTTGAGCTTGCGATGGAGCGAGTAGATGCCCACCTCCGATGTTGGACTGGGTCCTCGTGGGGAATCCTCTCGATGAGTACTAATTAATAGACCCCGACGGCCGACCGCTTGGGCGCTGGGTGGGCCGGCCGTCTTTGGCTCCTGGGTTTGGCCTTTCCTATCCGTGCGAATTTTTGGTGCTTACTATTTGCTTACTATGTGCTTACTATATGTATGTGAACCACGTACGCGAACTAGGGCTGGGGCGCTTAGATTTCTGTATACTCCTTCTCAAAATGTGAAGTGTGCCAGAACTGGCAGTCTCTATACTACTATCTCAAGATGTATCGCTTCTTCGGAATTTGTTTTAAACTAGTAAGATGTATAATAACGTTTAAGACGCTTCTTTTGTTGCCGAACAGTTACGCCGGAATTTTAAAGTTACAAAAACCGTTTCGTTTTCTCTTGAAATTATTTCTAAATTTCGTTAGCAATAGTTAAAACGAGGAAAATCAAAATATTTGACAAATGGTTTGGTTTACTCTGGTGAATCTTTGGAGAAAGCAAAAGAATGATATTTTTTGAATTTCTTTAAATGAATTAATATCTCATTTATATTTAAAAATAAATGATTCTTTCGAAACCATGATCAATAGACACAAGAAATAACTATTTACGTTGTTTAAAACATTTACAGTTCAAATATCAAACATACATTAGATACATTTGTCGGAAAATCGTCGGTCGTAACAACCAGTGGCGTAGCTAGCGGTCCTGCTACTCCCGCCCAGCAGGAGTAGAAATTTTCCAAAAAAAAATAAACATTCTATCCGGAGATGAGATATACATTATTTCACAAACAATTTGTAATAATATGTTTTATTCGTTCATTTTCACGCTTTTATTTGGTGGTTCGTAATCGTAATTCCGAAAAATCACAAGATTTGTATTGCAACCTACCACCCGCCTTTCCTCGCCCAATTCAATGCATACTCTCGCGATTTCTCCACGTATTCCTCCTATCTTCAGAGGACGGAGCATAAAATACAATTGTATATGAGAAGTTTTGAATTCTGGTTGGCTAAGGACTTGGCGCCTGCTCAAATCTGCTGTTTTCATTGGTCAAACTCCCTCTATTTTAAATTGGCGGAGGTTGTAATTATTCAACCTTTTAATATACGATTACAGCGATCAGTGATTATCAAATTACGACATCATTGTCGGTATTAATTTTCTATTGTCCTTGCTCTCAAAATGCTACTTTGTATTTGTGTATGACACAATGGCTTCAAGTGCGACTGCGATTTGCTCAACTGATGTTGATATAGGAAATAGCTTATTAGCTAAACCGTTCTCTGCTCGATCGTCGGTCGAACAGAATGTTATCGTTCATGAACGGCCTACTCCTGATTTAACAATCCAAAATAAGAGACGAACATTTCATAGAGATTGGTATGAGGTGAAAACTGGCTGTGTGGCAGTACAACCTTGCAGAAAGTGTTTTGTTGGCCATGTCTAATGTTTTCCCTGCAAAGATCGCCATCAAGGACTAAGAATGGCTACAACGATGTGCGAAGTATTATGTCTGATGCTTAGAAGCATGAGAAAATCTAAATCGTATTTAACTGCTTTTAAGACATGGAAAATGTATAGAGCTAGTGAGCGAATTAATTGTCTTATGTCCCTCACGAGAAGAAATGAGATTCAGCGTCACAATGAAGAGGTAAGAAGATTTACTGGAGTCTCCCCAGAATTTCAAAATGATCTTATGAGCTGTCTTGATGCAATTATTGAAGATGAAATCAGAAAGGAAATAAATGATTGCACATTTATGAGTATTCAGGTTGATGAAGCATCTGATGTGTCCACCAAAGAGCAGTTAAGTGTTATTGCTCGGTTTGACAAAGCAAATAAAATTTGTGAGAGGCAATTAGAATTTGTGGATGTAAATATGAACAGAAATTCAACAACAATATCACAAGTTGTCTAAGATAAACTTGGCGAGTATTCTGATATAAAAGAAAAACTGGTTTTGCAAACATATGAGGGTGCTTCTGTCATGTCTGGCCATATCAATGGTGTTGAAGCATTGTTTCGACAAAAGTGTTCTTTTGCCCATTTTGTTCATTGTGTAGCTCATAGATTGAACCTGGTCCTTTGCCAATCAGCCTCATCAATTTCCCTGTTAAAATCTTTTTCATCAATATAAGTACATTCAGCACACTTACAAGCAATGCCCCAAAAGAAAAGCTTTTCTCACATCAAACAATCTTGAGTTTCCTGACCCTGGTGAAACAAGATGGTATTGTCGCTCTAGATTCATCAATGTATTGCACAAAAACTCTGAAAAACTTTTAGATATTTTGAGGGGGTACTTGAAAAACCAGCTGGATGGGACGATGAGTCATTAAGTAAAATAAGTGGCTTACTGCATTATCTTGATAGCTTTCTCTTTTGTTTTCTAGTGTGTGTTTTTTACAGGATTTTAGAACAGTCCACAATTTTGTATTCCATTATTCAATATAGGGACACCAATTTTAATTATGGCATAAGCAAGATTGACAATTTCAAGCAGTTTATTGCATCACTTCGCACAGATCATGCTTTCACCGAGTTTTAGCAAACTGCACTAGTAAAAGTAGGCCCACCAGCAACCAGAGCAGATAGTAGATACAATTACAAACAGCTTTATTTTGAGATTATTGCTTCCATTAAAACCATGTTAAGTGAACGATTTCAAGATATTAATCAGTTCGAGTTTTTAGACCTTGTAAATCCTAAAGTATTTACTACCTGGAAGGGCATAGTTCCACAGGAGAAGATCAATCTTCTCAAGGATAAGTATAGTCCTCTTTTTGGTATCCCATCTTTGGAGAGTCAAATTTTCTTCATTTACCACGACAAGGACTTTCAGAAAGAGTGCAGTAATGAGGTACTTAAATACATACACAAATTTAATCTCCAGTCGAGTTAACGTCAAGTGGTAAATTTGCTAAAATTGAATGGTGTCTTGGCAGTGGCAAGTGCTTCAGTAGAGAGGTCGTTTTCTTGCTTGAAAAGGCTCAAAAGCTTTTTGAGGAATAGAATGGGTCAAGGCTGGCTTAGCTCTTTTTGTAGAATGTCTATTCAGAAAGATATCATTGAACAAAAAGAGGATTCAGAGGTGTTGCATAATAACGTGGTTGAAAAATTTGTAGAAAAACGCAGAAGGCTGGCATTTCTTTATAAATAATGCATATAGTATGTGTTTTGATATTAGTTCTTATAATACATGGTACTTCACTGACAAAATTAAGCATAACTCTAAAGAATAAAGCCATTCCTGTCTACCTGCCCCAATCTAAACAAGTGTAAACTACTAAGTGGAATGTTTAGAACAATCTTTCCCTATGAATTTTAGGAAGTGTCGCATAATATGCTATTTTTTGTGTTAATCCAAATTTCTTCTTTTTATTCAGGGACAGTGATGAGTTTGATTCATTATGTATTGGGGGACGATTGTCTTCTGCGTAGCGTTTCTCTGAGCCAACTTTAGTACCTTTTTAACTAGTTGCAGTTTCCACGATTGTCATAATCATAATGCAGCTAATAAAAACGGGTTTTTATAACCCATCGCTGGAAATGCTGTTTCCAAGGCTCTGGATTTCAAAATTTTCCTGGGGAGCATAGTGGGGGTCGCGCCTTCGGCGCGAGATGGTGGGCGGGAGTTTCTATTTTTCCTGGCTACGCCACTGGTTACAACCACAAATAGTCTTAAAAAAATGCTGTTAAAAATGATTGAAAAACGTCACAATCCTTAAATACAGTTCCACAATATTTTTAGCAGTTTTTGCTAACTTTTAAATAAGTGAAACAAGTGTGTAGGTTGAAGTGATTGAAGAAATATCATGTTTGTCATAACAAGATTATTTCGAAAAATAAAGCGTTGATGAGATCGTATTTATTTCAATTTTTTATACAAAAGATATAAAAGAGGAGGACTATTTATAAAATTTCTTGTAATATTGTTTTTTATTAATCCCTTTCATGTTGTGTTAATTTTGCACATTGTAAATTGATACTTTTTGCAAAAACTCAGTTTCAATTTTTAGTTTGAAAAATGGCTTCACCTCCTAATAAATTGAAGATTGAGGCGAACGGATCTCGTTTAAGTAAACTCTTGATAAATAAAGGAACACAAGCTTTGAAAACAACATTGCAGTTTAATATAAATTTTCGCTCGTCAAACCTAAGCGATGAACTTAATAAACCCTCAAATAAAAGTACATTGGAATCATTAAGAAAAAGAAACGTCATCAACAAAGAGCAATGGAACCTTCTTTACCCATCAACTGGTTTGCCAAACCTTCAAAACTTTGATATTTCATTATTGACTGTCTTACTGCGTAACATATGTGGTCTAACAGCGCCACATGGTGGATGGGATAATCTTCCTTTCAATTCAGATACTTCAATCTCAGCAAACATTGCAAGAATAAAATTTTATCGAAACAAAGAGTACGGTCACATAACTACAACTAGTGTAGATGATAGTGAGTTTGAGTATTTGTGGAATGAAATCTCAAAAGCATTGGTTGGTTTGGGTATTCAACAAACTGAAATAGATGAAATGAAGGAAGCTCCACTCACTCCTGATGAAGTAAATTATACTGTTATGTTAAAAGAATGGTATAAGAAAGAAGAGCAGTTAATCGATGTCACTGAAAAAACCCAAGAAGATGTGAAAGTCATAAAAAGAAATGTTGCAGAAATTAAACAAGAGATGGCTACAAAAGCTGATGTTGTTGGAGTAAAAGAAATGATACAGGGCGAAATATGTTCTGATCTTAAGAAGCTTGGAAAGTGTAATTTCAAAGGTCTTATAGAAGAGCTTAACAAGAAATACCTTGAAGGCACTAGACAATGGTTATTTGAAAAACTCGACACTTGGTTTAACGATAGAAGTGAAGATGCTTCTAATGTCATGATTTTGATTGCCGGTCCTGGCGTTGGTAAAAGTGTGTTTGCTGCTGAAGTGTGTCGACGATATTCTGAAAAGAAGAAACTTGCTGCTTCTCATTTCTGCAGATATAATAGATCAGATTATAGAAATCCTCGAATTTTGATAGAATCATTGGCTAGTAGCATGAGTGATACAATATCAAATTTTAAAAGTAAACTGAATGAAGAATTACAGAGAAATAATTCCAAAGAATCGATCACCGATAAATTCCTTGTTTTATTAAATAATCCATTGCAATCATTGGAAGATCATGAACCAATGCTTTTAGTTATTGATGCCTTAGATGAAAGCCAAGTTGATAACAAAAGTGAATTGTTGGAATTGATTGCAGAAGAGTTTGACCGACTGCCTAAATGGATTAAAATCTTCATCACCAGTCGTCCAGAACTTCCTGTTCAAAAGGAGATGAAAGACATGAATCCTGTGGAAATTACAACTCGTCCTCGTGATAAAAACAATGAAGAAGACCTGCACAAGTATTTGAGACATCAGTTGAAGAGTAATTTATTCATTGCTGACAGTTGGCACAAAGACAGTGATGACAGTGATGATTCATTTGACAGTGATGACAGTGATGTCTCATTTGAAATTGATGACAGTGACTTCTTATTTGACATTGATGACAGTGATGACTCATTTAACATTAATGACGATGATCGTGATGAAAACAACGAAAAAGACCTGCACAAGTATTTGAGACATCAGTTCAGTGGTCGGGTGCAGATAAATCGCTACGTTCTTCGGTCATTAGTTAAAAAATGTGAGGGATCATTTCTTTATGCGTATTACGCACAACTGCAATTTAAAGAAGAAAATATTAAGCTAACTGTCAAGAATATTGAGCAATTGGTTCCTACTGGGTTGAGTAAATTTTACAAAGAACAATTCAAGAGATTAAATAAATTATTGAAAGGAATAATTTTATCAACACACAAAACCGTTATTTCCGATAAAAACTTTACGGAATGTCTTGAAGTGTTGGTGACTTATCAAAGTTTTTTGCCTTTGTCTTTTCTTTTTCAATGTTTAGGTTTTCCTGATGACATGAAGTTTAAAGATCGTATTAAAATACATGAAGTGCTATCTCAATTTTTTCCAATTTACGATGATTATTTGACCGTGTATCACAAGTCTCTTATTGATTGGTTGAAATCAGATGGTTATGAAGAGCATGAGTTTACAGTTGATCCAAAAAATTGTCATAGGTTCTTATGGCATGCTTGTGAAAAAGTGTTTAAACAAATTAAGTTGATGAATATTTTTGAAGATCAGATCAGCACTGCTATGATTAAATATGCTTTGGAGAATGGAATCTATCATATGTCAAAATGTGGCGAAAATGTCGACTATAGTTGGGCAGTAGAAGTCAAAGTGATTTGTGCGAGAATTATGGGTATGAAAGACATTGACATTAGGTCTGAATTGTTTAATATCATTAAACAACGACGTGCTTTCTTGAAAAAAGATGTACTTGAGGAAGCACTAATTTATTTGCTTACGACACGGAAATATGAGTTTCCTAATACCTTAATTCATTTACCAGCTATTGCCAACAGAATTCGTGGAAGTAGCGAAAAAAGATTATTGGCAAGGGATTTATTGAAACAAGGAAAGTTTTCTTGGTTTGAGGATTTAGACTCAACATATTTGACAAACCATCATCATTTGACTGTCTCCTTGCGTGCTAACGTTACATCTCTTTGTGTGTCGTCCAATGAAGAACTTCTTGCTGTAGGATATGAAAATGGTCAAATATCTATTTTTGAGCTTCCACAATTTAAACAACGCTGCACTCTAGGCACTGCACTTGATGATTTAAGGTTGGATAAGTGGTATGATGTAGACACATTTTTATCCCAGTATGACATCTATGACTATCCAACTATAGAGAAATCCAGTTTTATACAAGGAAACATCTGTTGTTGCTCGTTTTCATCTACCGGAAATAGAATGGTAACTAGTGATGGATCTCCAGAAGTAAAGTTGTGGGACGTTAACAATGGACGTTTGTTATCATGTTTACAGTCAGATGATGTCGTTAATCGTTGCTCTTTCTTAGATTCTGGTTTGTTTATTACAGCAAGACATCATGAAATTTCTTCTAAAGAAGTGTTCACTGCATGGAATTCATTAACTTTGCGAAGAATTGATCGACGCTGCGTTGTTGATTACCAAAAACTACAATACACAGATAAATATTCAGAGTTTTTTTTTTCAGATTTCTTCAATACTTGGTGTGTTTTTCAATTCCCAAAGGCAATCGCTATTTTTTCAAGTAAAAAGGAATGTTCACTACCTTTAATTTTAATGATAACACACCATTATCGTGATTGTATTTTTTATCATACAAGCCAGAATGGAAAGCTTTCTAAAATCACTTACAACGATCAAGAAGAAATCGAGTTTTGTTTACCACATGTTTGGTGTCCATGTGTTTATAGGATTCTTAACAAAGTCCATCCCATCTCGTTTAAGGAATTTTACGTTGTGCCGTATTTTTCCAAGCTTAAAATTTTCAAAACTGATCATCTTTGGAGACCTTCATTTATCATTGAGAAATTGAAAATTAAATGTTGTTGTTTTTCACCGGATGGATCTTTTTTTGCTGCTTTCGTTGTTGGTGACCACGTCAACATTCATATTTGGAGCATTGAACGTTGCACTATTATTCAAACTGTACCAATACAACTGAAGGATGCATTAGGATGTTGGTGGTCAGATGGTTTACTGTGGATATGGGATGGTTCTGATCATCTTACGAAGATTTCTACTTCGTCTGAAAATTTTGTAGATTCTACTCAAGCAAAGCATGTTAACATTGGATTTAGACCGCAAAAAATCTTAACATTTGCTGATGTCTTAGTTTGTATTAACGAACTATATTTTGTTGAAGTTGTTAGAATTACCAAGGGTAAGATACAATACAACAAAAGACTTCCTGTTGACTGTTTTGAATTTAAAGCAGCAGCTGTATCACCTGATAATTCTGTTCTTTTAATTGTAAACAAAACAGAATACACATTATGGAAATGGGGAAATACCAACAATGAACTTTACTTGAAACCTTGGCATACTGCAGAAATGCCCATAACGTCTTTTATTGAAAAATTTGTTACAGAACAGATAACTGTAAATGATCTAAAGTTCAACTGCTGCATAAGTGATAGTAAACAAGCAGTCATAGCATTTTGCACAGGCATTAAAATTATGGGCATTTATGTAATTAATATTCACGAGAATGGTGATGTGAATGCCATTTTGCATGATGTCAGTGGATATTTATTGGAATCCAACCTAATCGTACACAAATCTTATTGCATTGGAGCGTCTTATCCGTCATTGGTTGCTGTAGATTTAAAGAGTGGCGAAAAGTGCGCTCAATTTGACGGACATATAACGTCTCATATAACTATACATTCCAACACAGGAACTATAGCTATAATTGACAATATAAATTGCAGAATTCAATTTTTAAAACTTAATGTTCCTAAATAAATACATCAACTCAAACTTTAATAGTAAATTCAAAAAGCTGTTGAGAAAATTGCACATAGATGTTGATGGTCGTAAGGATGGTTGCTTGTTTCCACCTGCTATAGTTTTCTACAGAAGAAGTATACTTATTCTACCAGGCAATCTTTAAGAAATTATCTATGTTTCCAAAAATAAATTTGGACCAATTTTGCAAAAGATCTCTTAAATTTATCGGTACTATTTCTTGGAATATCTTACCTCCTGCTATTAAAGAATGTAATGATGTATAATTGCTTATTATCACACAAATGACTTGTATTTAAAAAGAGTGCTTCTATACTAATTGATCATGAATATTTGTTTATTCCTTTCTAAGATTCAATTTGTAAACTTCATAAATGAATTTTCATTTAAACAGGGCATCCTCTAGGTTTGACTACTACTGTAAGATGTTCTATAAAACTTATTATTATGTATTGTATCTCTGAACAAATTTCATGTTGATGATTTACTTTTTAATACAAATGCATGGTTAGATAATTTGGTTATTTTTATTTAACAAATAGATAACATTTAACATTTGTCTATACAGTTATAGATACACGGGTATGTCGTCATTTTGATAAAAACTGAGTGGCCACGAGCCTCCGGGGCAAATCAATGTTTGAAAAACGGGGTTTTTTTTTCATTTTGCTCAAATACGTCCAATACTTCAACTGGGCATTCTTAATTTCTTTATTTGCCCATTCAGGGATATATTCAGGTAAATATTCAAATAAATTCTCCGTTTGTTTGCCATTTAAAAACAAGGAATTTTCTGTGAAATCAATTCCGTGCGTCTGTCCTCTTATAGATCATAGCTCTCGACCAATGAAATTGCTTAAATTCTTCCGGCTATTATATAGTATTATAAATAAGACGTTCACCACATAGAAATGAAAGAATGTCGACAACTCATTCATTGTGAGTCATTTGATAATATGGTGTTGTTGTAGATGAAGATTATTTTGATGAAATTATAGAGTGACTTTCTTTAGACATGCTTTCAAGAACTGTAAATACAATTTAACATCGTGGGAATAGGTTTTGTATGGTGTTAAAAATTCACATGTATTAAAACACCATTTGGGTTTTATGGTCATTAGTTGAAATATGTGAGAGATCATTTTTGTACGTTTATTATGTACATATGACCTTAAAGACAGAAAATGTTATATACTGTCAACAATTCCCGTATGTAAAAACATCATGACGTCATGTCAATAACTATGATGAAAATAAATAAAACTTTTACGATTTTGACATAAGTTCTTTTGAATTGAGGAATTATATTATTTTGAATATTATTTTCTTGCATGTTTGTAAATGTAGATCGTCCAGGTTGGTATAGTCCTGAGAAGGACTGTTTTTGTTGTTGTTGACTGACGTTTCGGCAACCTTAGCGGTAGTTATCTTCAGAGTTAAACCAACCTGTACGATCTACAACTACAAACATGTAATGATACTCCCGGGTTCAAACCATTCACTTTAATATTTTCTTGATTAAAATATTGAAGAATATTAATTTTCACTTTCTGTCTTCAATGGTTAAAATAAAATTTATCATCATGATGTTGGAGTTGATACAACGTTAAATGTACAGTTTCAATTTGTGACAATTGTAAACATAACAATAAATATTTTACTTATTATAAATATTAAAGCTCATCAAAGTGCTTTTAAAAGAGCCATTCAATACAAAAATAACGTATAAAAAGAAATATTTATTTAGTAGCGTAACGTTTCGTCTTAATTCTCAAGACATCACCAGACAAAATTAAATTACAAGTATACAGGGATTATATATATAATAGCTATTTACATAATATTAAATTACATGGTGGGATGAAAAAGATGAAAGTAAAAGTGGGATAAGATGGTATAAAGTGGGATAAGTGAAAATCACGAAAGAAACAAAAACACACACAATCACAAAATATACAGACATGGAGTTTTCTTGTGAATTCTACTTATCCTTGTGCTTTAATATTTATAATAAGAATTTGGTTTCCGCCTGGTACATCCCTGGTCACTATTCTGAAGAAACATTTTACTGATGATCTTAAAGATCCTTGTGCTTTAAACATTCCACAGATTTTCAAAGTTTTTAAGTTTTTCTTACTGTACAAAAGTAAGATAAAAATATCTGTGCGGGATAACTAAGGACAAAGTAATAAATTTAGGGGGAGGAGGTTAATCTGTCCCTTCCTCTCTTATTCCTAGAGCCATCATTGTATATTGAATAATTACGTTACATTGAGGTTTAGTATGGCAAAATTTGAGGCTTAGGCTGTGTTTACACTACATACAGGATTTGCTCGTCACGACATTTTCATTTGTTTTAAAGTTGTAACAGTTTGGAGCAAATGCTTATTAAGTTAGTAAATTTAGTTAATTTAATTTTGTTTTTGATATTGAATGATATCAATGATTTTAATACATAAAAATTTAACCTATAACGATAGCATTTTGGTATAGTGTAAACGGAGCCTTATTATAAATGTAGAACTTTACACGTGCAAAGAAAAAAGAAATTATTGTAAAATTCCTAATTATCGTTTGTGTTAAATGCATTCAGCACATGCAATGTTCGATGTTTGAAACGGACGTAAAAGTTTTAATACAAAGTATTTCTTTTTTCGAAGACATAAAAGGATTAATTATTGTATCTTTGAAAGGTGACATGAACCTGAAGAGCCAATCGACATGAAAATTGTGTATCATTATTTAGAACATGGCCAAAGCCATTCGTCCAATCAGCATCCTGTACTTTGATGTTCTATATCTCATAGTGCCTACAAATCATGAATTGGTATGAGCTTCTTTAAGGCTCTAAGAAAATGCACAAATGGAGAGAAAATAATGAATACAACAGCTCGTTAGTATTCTTTAAATCTCATCAGTACTCCTTTATAGAGAATACTAATTTGGATATCGTTTTCTGTTTTTCATTTCTTTATAAGTATTCTCTAAATAGAAAATACTAATGAATGTAGTAACCCTACAGTGCATATCCGAATATCTAACAAACAGATAAAATCTAAGACGTTTATAACATATTATTGTGAAGTAAACAGATTCATATTGCACACAAATTTAAAAAGAAAACAAATCTTACAAACAAATCACAAAAATTTAATATTGCACTCAAAATTAATAACGAACACATGTACTCTATCACTTAAAATGAAACGACATACGTGTTTCCCCATGTCCAAAAACCAAAAAAGTCTTCGTCTCTTGTGTATTTGCAGTGCTGCCACATTTTTGTTTCTCCTCGTCTACCTTCGCTTTCTTTGGACTTGAAACGTCGACTGCAGAAGGTGGTTGAAGTGCATTTGCAATCTGACATTCTAACAAGTCCAACTCGCTAAGTTCAATCATGTCTTTAATTGCACAGATTAAAATATTCGACGTTAAAACTACTTGCGTAAGGATATTATATTTTTTTATTTTTGAAATTTAATTACTTTTCTTACACTTAAACAATATTTACTAACTGATAATCACCTAATTGAAAACAAGGCATCTTAGGCAACGTCTACACGTATCTGGATTCGTCCGTGTCGGCAAATATTTTGTTGCGGTCACGCTTATCTTCCACACGCACCCAGCGAAAACGCCAGTGCTTTTTTTAAAGAATTTTCACTTGGTGGGCAAAACAGGAAAAATGGCACAACAAAAAATGTGGCCTTGAGGTTTGGCAAATGCCCAAATTCTAAAGGGAAATTTTGTAAAACTTTATTTTTTAACTTCAGCTTTGCTTCTGTACATCTGTAGATTTAGGAACTACAAAAAAATAACCTCAACTTTAGGAACTTAATTTTGCTTTTATTACTTTTATATGAAACATTCTTTCTCTTCTCTCCAGTTTGTATAGTCTCAATAATATGGCTTTCTATATTCATAGACATAGACAAATTTTGCAGGATTTATTCAATCAACAATCCTACACAAAATTCAAAAAATTAGAATTTGCCACAAAAGCGTCGCGAAAAAATATCGTTATCAACTTATCAATGAACTGTCGGGCGAAAACGTTAGACTAGAATTTTATTGGATTATTTGCATGAAATCAATTGCCAAATTTGCTGTTTTAAAATTGAATATTATTATGAATTACTTACAAGATGGTAGATGGCCGTGAAGGAAGCTATGAAATGGCATAATCTCCTTTTCAAGTAAATCAAGAGCATATTTGACAGCAATTATGAGCAATACTGCCTTGAACTTCGGGGAGCAAAATGACCTTACTGGGGGGGGGGCAAATTCTTTCTCTGGGGAAAAATCCCCCCAGATATATAGTTTAAAAAAGGCACTGGGAAACGCATACTTTAACCGCAAACTTTTAAAAACGTTGTCCAGAGTGGAAACTTTTAAAAACGCATCGAATTCGAACACGTTTAGATTTACTGTAACCGGAATGATTTAAAAACGCTGACCAATCCACATTTATCATGCATTATCCTATGGATTAAAATGGTGCCTAAAGTGTTTCTTTCTATTTTAAATGCGCTGTTTTCGAGCATTGTTGCGTTTATGCAATTTTCTATTGCCGTCTTAAATTATCAAAAGAATTATGGAAATAGAGCGAGCAATTTTTATACGGCTCCTTTCAATCCTAGAAATGTGTCCTTAAACATTTTCTCTTTTTTATATTCTAAAACGACACTTAATAAAAGGTTCACTTTCTCATCTGTCCACATAAAAGCTTCATTCTTACCTTTGATGAACTTGAAGCATTAGTTTTTGTCGGATAATTTATCATATTATGACCAGATAAGTATTCGTAAAAGCGCATGCTCTGTAAGCAATACTTGGGTATTTGTATCGTTTTCGCAGCTACGTGTGGACACACAAAAACACATCATATTCGCATACATGTGGACGCGTAAAGTTTTGAATCCAGAACAAAATGTTTACAGCTACGTGTGGACACACAAAAACGCATCAAATTTACATACATGTGGATGCGTAAAGTTTTGAATCCAGAACAAAATGTTTGCGGATACAAACCAATCCGGATACATGTAGACGGAGCTAATAAACTCTGGCTGCGCCGTCGTGAATTTCTATCGAGTGCTCGGACTCTTAATCTCATAGAACACACGTAATCCTGCTCTAACCTTTACTTAATTTCAGAAGCTTTAAAGTATTTAAATTTGTGTGTGTTTACTTTAATCACAGAATAGGAAATGAACAGAAGGATAATTTAGTGTCGGAGCTTTTGAAATCAGTGTCCTAGCGCATGTCTCATTGCGCATGCTAGAATTTCGACGGCCGCCGTTACTCTGGCAATTACTGGCTAAGGAATTTGTATATGATTGTATTGTGCGAAATATTAATCTACACATTGTGAAGGTTTACTCTTGAAATCTGCGTTCTAATTAACAAAACTTCAAAATACAATGTAAACATTGTCCATTTGTCTTTAAAAGCGCGATTCTCTTGCCCAAATATTCCATTTCACGGTATAATTTATAGTAGTTAGCAACCGCATTCCGGAGTCGTAGCCAAATAATGGCAGATCTGACGTAAGCGAATAAAAAACCTGGGACACATCGCACCCCTGAGTTGGCCTTCTGTTCATTTCCTATTCTGTGCTTTAAAGTAAGTCAGGTCCATTTAACTTTGTAGAAATGAAATGTAAGTACTGTGAATTTACTGGCGAAGTAAGAAATTTATGAAAGAAATCAACAGGTCTTGTTATAATCTTTGTAATGTAAATGGTTTTACTATTCGCTACTAAAAGGTTAAATTTAAAATGGTAAATATGTTCTGAAAGGATGGTCCCTGATATCTGTACTGAATTGTTTAAATATGGAGGTTACACCATAAATGTATAATACAAAGTTATTAAAAGAACATTGTACAACATCATACGTATGTATGAACATTTACATTGGACTATGAAAACTGACTACATTCTACAAAGATATAAAGTTATTAAAAGAACATGTACAACGTCATACGTATGTATGAGCATTTACATTGGACTATGAAAACTGACTACATTCTACAAAGATATAAAGTTATTAAAAGAACATGTACAACATCATACGTATGTATGAACATTTACATTGGACTATGAAAACTGACTACCTTCTATAATGACTTTATTCTATAAAAATGAAAACAGGCAAATGCAAAAGAGAATAAAAAAACATGATCCAGGTTTTATAGAACTTAAATGAGTTGATAAGTGTTAAATTTTGTTTGCATTAATATGAGGTTATCATGAAGGATCACGGTGGTCTATTTTT